GCGCTTATAGAAAGTACTTGAAAAAAAAAACAATTATTAAAAATTAAATTTATTCAAAGTTTTATAAATTATGATCTATTTTAAAATTATAACTTATTTGATTTTAGAAAATAAGATTATTTGAAGCATGGGATAAAAGTAAAAATTAAATTTTTCTAAAATTTGACAAAGTATTTTAGAAAAAGTTATAATAATTATTAAATGAAATATTTAACTGTTAAGACTTTCTCTAACTGAAATTGATATTAAATGTTTCTTAATTTGCAGATGCACGTCACTGAAACGCAGTACGATTTTATCCCACAAAAATATGAAAATTAAATTTTTGTTTGATCGAGTATTTTAGAAAATTCAAAATTCAAATATTTGTATTTCTTATTTCGAAAATATATATTGAAAACAGCAAACAATCGAAAAAAAATTCGAAATTAGCAGCACTTTTTGTTTGCTAACGCATTCGGCAACAAAAGCCAAACTGACCTTCCCAATGAATATCTCATATTGTAGTTCTGTCATAGAGTGTTCTTACATAACTAATATGCTGATACAATGGTACTTGTACTTTTTCAAACACAAGTTTTTGATACTCGTAGCTTGAAAAGCATACTTTTAAACACAAAAGGTTTTGCATAAGCATTTTGTAATAAAAATATAATTCGGGCCTATATGAAGACTACGAATTCTAGAGGCATTTATTTTTAGTTTTACTGGGATCATCTTACAGGAAACATAACACCATTTTATTTATAAATGTATGTAGTTTTTGTGAAAAAAAATTATACTATTAAGTTTTTTCTTAAATAAACTCAGGTAAGTTAAAATTTAAATTAAATGAAATGAAAAATGGTTTTTGTTTAGACCGGTTTTGAAATTTTGTGCCTAAAATTATTATAAAATTACCTATTTTGCTGAAAAAGAGTTCCCAATTCGAATATGTCTTTTAAAAACGGATAAAAGAACTGGTAATTTTAATTTCGGATATAGACCGCTTAAAATCGTTCTTAAGTGTTTGCGAATATGATGCATTTATTTTAATACATGAATTGAAAACCGTTTCTCAAGGGTTAATAATATTTTAAAATTATATTTAGAAAAACAATTAAGTAGTTAAAGACTATCCTAAAAATTTTAATTTTTTATATTTTTTAGACTGTATTATATTTTCTCTTTTACTTTAATATTAAATAATAAGATTATCATCTTCTATAATATTTATTGTCACTCTTTAATTCAATTCTCCCTTATTATTAACCAGTTGATTATATCTACTTTATTTAATATTCTTTATATCTTTTAATATTTTTTAAAATAGATTTTATAATAGACTTTTAAAAGTAATGTTTTTAAAATTCTTACTCATTATTATAAATAAAAATTTCATTGTAAAACTATATATACTTTTTAAGTAGCATATTTAAGCATTGTTTCCTTAAGAATTTTGTTATTTCAATAACAAAATTAGTGTAAAACCGTAATAAGTGTAAAGGATGTACAACAATAATTAAAATTTAATAATGGCTAATTGAAAGCAACAGGAAAAATATTATAAAATATTCTTTAAAAATTGTAATTTACATTTTGTTATTAGTAAAGGGTTAATAGTGTACATTTTTAATATATTGATTTATTAAATTTTACATTAAAAATGTCATAGGTTTTTTAAGTACGTATTCAAATATTGATTAGTTTTGAAATACTACAAGATAAATTTATATTGAGTACACTCATAAATCAAGCTATACAAGTCAGCTCATAATTGTTCGGTATGTTATTAGGTTTAAATACCTACAAAGAAATTACAAAGAAATTATAATTATAATTCAACAATATTATTCTTTTCGAATGAAAAAAATTCAAGAAATTTCGCCTTATATAATTTATTAGAATAAGCTTAAATAACTAATGTTGTAGTATAATATAATAAAAATAATAATAAAATATTGTTATACAATAAGAGCACGGACTGAAAATACAATTTAGTTCTAAAAACATCTTTATAACATCCCCTAATCTTTATACCAAAAAAAACATTTTGGTATAAACTAAACTGAATTGTTTGTAAAATTGTTAATTATGTACGTTTAAGGGTGTAAATTAAATTTTTAATTGTTAAATCTTCATAGGAAATTCTTGAAATAAATATTAATTGTTCTACATATAAAGCTATTAATATTTTTAATTTAAAAAAAATTTATGTATATTTTTGCACATATTATATAACGTAAGTATAAAGAAAACTGAATATTTATAATAATTATTATAACCAATAAGAAGCCATTTTTATTCCAATATTATAACGAATAAATACTAAAAATTTTAATTGATTTTGACAGAACAGATTCATAATGTTGACTTTTATATAAAAAAAAAAACTTCATTAATTACAATTTATATTGGTGTGCGGCTAGCAATAACTTGTAAATTAATTTTTATTTCAAGAAAAATATATATTAAATTACAAGATTAAAATGTAAGAATTCTTTTAATACAAAAGTGTGGCTTATAAATGACATTTATTTAATTGTTAAATGTCATCAATTTGATTTCAATTTGATATACTTCAATTCTAACACAAGTGACAGATTTCAGTAGTTGCTATGTAAATAATTATATTATTATCATATTCGAATAACATGTAATATTACAGATGAAATAGTTCTGTTTAAACAAAATGTTATATACGTAGTACAATCTTCTCTAAAATTTTTCATTTTCAAGGAAATGTTAACAAAAACTTCCTATTGATTTCTCTTATATTTTAATTTAAGATACTCGCACATATTAAATGTCTAATAATTAAAATTAACAGATTCAAAGAGATTATGTTGATGATTCTCTCTTTTTCATTTATTTATTGAAAATTAATATTGTGAATTTTAAATTAACGAATATTGTGATTATTATTTTTTATAACATTAACACGTACGTTTATCGTAAAATGCGTGGTTAGTCGATCAAAAAGAAAAATATGTTGTTTAACCATATTATTTGACAGCAAAACAAAGAAGAAAAAAAAATTATAATAACGAGAAATTTTTCGTACACGTAATATTTTCTAAATAGTCGAAACGATACGTAATATTTTTTGAAATTTTTATGTCAGACAACTGGTTGGAAAGAATATTATTGAAGTGTATGTGAAAAAAGTTATTTAATAAAATAACAATTATGGTTGAGATTAGATTATTAATTATTACGAAATTTTACAATTTTTCTATACAATTTTGGAAAAATTAAGAAATTTATTGAGAAAAAAAGAAAATTTGAAAAATTTTTCAATATGTTTTATGGAATAAAAATAGGATTATTGTATGATTTTGAGAAGTAAAACATTATGTATTTTTTATTTTACGTGAGTTAATCTTATTAATATGTACAACATAGATATTCATACTTATATATATTGCAAATGGGAACCCATGTGAATTGGATTTTTTTTTTTATTTTAGAAATTGATTAAGCAAAAACCAATTTTATTTTCAAGGAGAAAAGCAAATCTTAATGATGAATTCGTAAATTCTAATTGAAAATGCTGTGAAATATAAGTTAAATAATAGAATTTGATTTTGAATATCTTAGACATAGACTGTTTCAAGCACTTCTTTATAGAAAATGTGAAAATGTCTTGTTGGTTTCAATATTTCTGTTTGTTTTCCCACATTAACTTTTACAAAACTTCTAATCTCCTTAAAGTAGAAAGCTGTAAATTATATACACAAATTGAAATTTCAATTTTTGACAATTCACTATACGAAAATCAAAAATATTTTTGAAATTTTAAAATTCCAGAAAGATGACGAGAAAATTTTGCTATCGTAATATTACACAGACAAACTACAATATACTCAAAATAGACTTTTTTTTGAATTAGATTTTTTTTCATGTTTCCGCATTATTTGTCATGTCTTTTTTATAAATAAAATAATATAAAATTTTTAATTTAATCATTATTTTTTAAGTATGTTTCTGCACATTGAGTTTTTTGTCATTTTCCTAGAAGTATGCAATAAAACAAAGAAGCACAATTTAACAGAAACCAAAATAAAATGTCATTTTTTAAAACAACAACTGCTTTATTTTTCAGTTTCTTGAAGAAAATATTGACTATTAGTTCAGTTAAATTTTATTTTTAAATGATTCATAGGAAATTTATTACAGAAATATTAAATATATCGGGAAATACACAAAATAAGGCAATATTATCGATGGTATTAAAGTCTAATTTAAATTAGACATAAATTTGTTATATAAATTTTAAAATTCTTAATAGAATTGAAAGCAATGTTGCGAACAATATTTGAGGTAATTTTTAAAATAATAAAGTAATTTAATTTAAGGGCAAAGTATCATACCAAAAATATAATAATTTTACTTTTAAAACAATTAATTTAGAAAAGAGATAAACAAATTTACAATTGAACAAAAAAGTGAACCTGAATAAAAATTCTGCAAAATTTTTTTCCCCAAAAATTCTCATAACTTCTTATTTTTCTGTATATTTTATTGCACAGAAAGAATAATAAGAAATTACAAAAGAAATAATCATATTTTTTAAGACTTTTCCGTGAAAAGTACACACCTTATAAAGCATATTATTGTTATCATTATCATTATAACAGTTAATATTAATTGCTATTAAAAAAATCAAAACACAAAAAATTAAAAACTGAAAAAAAAAAAAATCTATTACATTAAAAATAAAAATAAAAAAAACTGTACAGGTGTGCACAAATTACAGTTTTTCTTAATGCATTTTAAAAGCATATTGAGGCAACTCGCTTAGCCAATTCTCAACGGGACACAAAAAAATTTAAAAAAAAAACAAGAAAGAAAAATGGAATATTATTCGTTCTTTTTGATTAAGTAGTGATAAAATAAAAACAAACCATAAATATTAAAAAAACAAAAAACAAAATCATAAATTAAAATTTCATTTGAAGCAAAAAAAAAAAACAGAAAAATAAAAAAAAAAATAAAAAAGAATTAAATTAAATTCTCACCTGTTTTTGATACACCATTTTGATATTCAGATGACGTGCAGCTTGATGAACCACCACCATTTTCCATTTTACCATTTCTAGCTGAAGAAGAAGCTGATGATGATGTTATAGTACCATTACCATTTTGATGATGGTGTACACCATTACCATTTTTATGTCCATTTGTTTCTGTACCATTTGATGATGTTGATGATGATGATGTTGATGTACCACCAATTGGAATGCTGCTCTTCATATGATTTTTAGCTGGTGTATAATTACGTTCTGGTTCACCAAAAAGTCGGGTATATGAATCAATTTGCTTTTGACCACGACGAATACTATCACCTGTATATATATATTATACACGATACATATATGTATATATTAAGAGGAGATTTTATATATGTGAAGAATATTGTGTATATAGACAAGTTGTTTGTAATTTTTGTTATTGTTATTAAATATAATGTTAATAACAATTAACAATAATTTTTTTTTTGTATTTTTATTTTCGTGATTTATTCAGAAAAATTTTTATGGTGTTCATGTTGATGTTGTTGTTGTGGTTGGTGTTGTTGTTGTTGTTCATATGGTGTTTTGATCCCAATAGATAAATTGATTGTGTTTTGATTTTGTTTTTTTTTTTTTTGGTTATTTTACAAAGGCAAATAAACGAAAATAGGAAAAAAAAAACATAAAAAGAAAAAAAATTTAAAATTAATAAAATTAAATATTATTATAGTTTTATTATTTTAAATAATTATTAGATTCGAATTAATAAAAAAAAAATTAAATGAAAAATTGTAAAAGTAAAACTCTAAAATGCAATAACAATATTAAGAAAAGAAAATTTTTAAAAAACTATAGAATAACTTGCAAATATTTCAGTAAATAAAATTTTATTTTTTTTTTTAATATTTCTATATATATTTTGTATTTTAATTGTTAAATAAGAGTATTAGATTAAACTAAATCTTATATTGTTCGTTCATACTGTGATGGTATTGTTATCTTAACACTATAAAACTATTATAAGTGAAGAATTAGTGTTCAAAAAAATTTTATTTAAATTTATATTGTGTTATACAATGTATTAAATATTTGTATTTTAATATTGATTATTATTGATTAATTTTAATGTTTTAATATTGAAATATTTTTGCTTTAATTTTGAATTAGTTTGCGCTTACATTCTATTTATTAATAATTTTCAAGTTAATACGGATTTATTATCACATTTTTTTAAAACAAATATTTTGTGAATTGTTTTGCGGTAGATATAATTAATATCCTGATATATTTAGTCCCCAAATTATCAAACTAAAACCCTTTCTATAAAATTAATTTTTATTCTAATAATAATTAATATGTATGATAAATAATCGCCTGTTTTATTGACCGAAAGTTATCAATACAGGGAGTTTCAATGCTTATTTAAATTAGAAAATAATTAAATAATTCATATCGTACATTTTTAGAAAAAGTATATGGGTATTCACATTAAAACTCATTTAAGCTTAGTATAATCCATATTTTGAATCGAATTTTTTTGCTTTTTCAAATGATTTCCGGAACAATTTTTTTCGATATAACGATAAAAATTAAACTGTAATTGATACACTGAGAAAAATTTGGTTAAAGAAAATTAATTTTTTTTATAAATTAATAATGAATCCCTTTAGAATTATGAAATCTGTAATACTGAAATATTTTATCATATCTTTTTATAAGTATAATATTTTTTATGTTTCATGTTCATGCATCTATCAGCATAAAGAATATTACACAGAGAAAGAACATTTAAATAAATAATATATAATAGCACATATATGCATACATATATTTATGTATGTACGTAAAAATTTATATAAATGATAAAATAATTTTATAAAATCATGCAATAAAGTTGAAGAAGCGCAATTAAAAATCATAATAAAAAAAAAAAAAATTATAACTGAGTTTAAAATATTTGGTAACGTTGTTAAGCTTTATGTATATTGAAAATAGCCCCGAAAATTTAAAGAAAGGCAAAAAAAATGATGACAAAATTTGTGAATTTTTATTTTCCAAAAAAAGGCTTTTAAAATTTGAGTAAGTAAATTTTTTTTTTGTGTTTGTAGTCTCTTATTCGGTAAAAACTCGGAGAAATGTTTACAAACTTTAATTGAAGTTGAAAATGGCAAAATAGTAACGCTAACTATTTCAAAAAATATTTAAGATAAACAATTAAGCTATAATACCTCAGTATTCGCGTTTTGAAATACCTTTTATTTCAAAGTTTTGGTTACAAACCCAGACTAAATTGCAAGATAAAATTTAGGATATCGCAAGAATGTTATGGAAAAGTAGAATTTTTTTTTTGCAATTTTTGTCAAAACTTCTTAAAATCTATATATCTCTCGGAAATTATTAAGGTTTTGACATCTATTTTAAAGCGAAAATTTTACAACTTTCTTATTATCTAAAAAACTCTATCTAATTGCTCGCAATTCTTTATATAGAATACCGAAAACCTAAGACAAAAATAACAAAAAAATTTTGATTTATTTTAAATGAGCATGAAAATAATGAACAAAAAAAAAATTAAAAAATAAGGTTCTTTTGCTTTGTTTTTAATAAAAAATTTGATTTGATTTCGGTCCCTTTAGTTTGTTTCCCTTCTCGTAAAAAGAACAACTGGAATTAAATAAAATTTAGTTTCATTTGAACTTTTGCTTGCGAAGACTATTTTGATTTTTTTTTTTATTATTACAATAGAAATTAACTTCGATTATCTTGTCAGAATAAAATTTTTAAAACAGTTGCTACAATAGTAGTGGGTGGTCACTAAAAGGAAAAAAAATCATTTTTTTTTTTCTTCTCTTCCCGTTTATTACTTGTCATTTTACTCTGTACCATTATTTTAAATGTATTAACGGTAATTTACTAACATTTTGAATATTGCTGTTATTTTTTATTTTCAAAAATTAAAGTAAATTAAATTAATTTTTTGTTGTTTTTTTTATTATTTTCTTTTTTAATGGGTGTGCTCACTATACCTATCTCTGTTTCTCTTGTCTTATAATTTTTTCAAAAACCAATTACTTTTGACTTTTTTTTTTGGTTAAAATCTTCGAAGGTGCATGTTGAAAATCATATAGTTGGAAAATTGAAGTTTATTCTACATTCAATTCACAATTTCTATTTCAATTACAAATTCAAAAATGACATTCAAATTTAATGCAAACTGATTGGAAGATACGAAAAGACTTGAATGTCGACATAAAATTTTAAAATAAAGTTAATTGAATTTTAAAAATAATTAAATTTCTTTCCTCTTTCGTTTGCTATAGACATTTTGGAAAATATAAAATTTACTTTCGATTTTTTTTGCAAAGAATGACAATTATACAATTTGTAAAAGTGTTCTTCGAACAATTTCTGTGAAAAAGTTTTAAGGTTATAGTTATTAAGTTAATTCAGACTGTTGTTATACAGTTCCGAAATTAACAATTTGTTTCAAAGAATTTTCATTAAATTAATCAAAGTTATCAGTGCTTTGAAAGTTTAAATTACAAAAATTCAATACCCTATAATTGCTAGCTATTGCTAGCAATTGCTATTTATAGTGTTATAAACCCAATTTCAGAATCTATCAAAAATTTTTAAATGAAATCTCGAAGTACTTTTATTATGAAAACTTTATGTTTTTCTTCCTAAAGTGAAAAGGAAATTTCATTTTTAAGAACTATGTGGTGTTTCTGTATAGTGTTGATTCTTTAGCATCAAAATTTTAAAAATAAGTAATAGCCTTAGTGAAAACTCAAGTAGCTCAAAACCACTACCTTTTTTTAAGTTAAATTATAATTTGGAGGGTATTTGCCACTTATTCAATTGATACAATTCATGACTTTAATTTCCGATAAACTTTCTTAAAAATAATTTTAATATTTTCATTTTTTCGTAAGAAAAATTTTCATTTAACACACTAATCTTTATCTCGATAATTTTTTGAATCTACAATTTCTAATTAGATCCTTTTATTAATTAATTGCATTAATATGCAATGCACTAGTTTATTTAAATATTGTTTTTTCATTTTTCAAGTTTATTACTAATTAAAAAAATACTTAAAAAAATTGGGTCTAAAGTCTACAAATATACGCCAAAATAAATAAATTTATTTCAAGATTTTTATTGTATTAAAATTAAAAGCAATATTTTTGTTCTATTGAGACAATCATATTAGAAAGCTATATATAGAAACATGGTTTCAAAACCGACAATTTACTGTTTAGTCACACCTGTGGCATAAGACTTCAACGAGGCAATAAAATATCTGTATAAATAATAAAGACATTTTTTGGAATGCCATTTGATACTTTAAAAGATTTTCAACATTAAAATATTTATAAAGGTGGTAACCAAATAATGTACATACGATTTTAAAACACGTCAGATTAAGAAGAGATGATTATAAAAAAATCGAGGATATGCGATTACAATTTCGATGCAATCATTAAGAATTTATTATGAAAAAGTAAAAGGAAAATCATAATATTTAATCGTTTTCGTGAGTTTATCGTGGAAATTACAGAAAAACAAAAAAAATATATATTGGAAAGATTTCTCAGTTGGTACCATTTCACTTTTTCACAACAGTCCAATTTCTTATCTATATTTTTCATTTTTTCTTTTTCATAATATACACATACATTAAATATATTTATTATTTTTAATATTTTTATTATTATAAATATGATTTGAATCACGATTAAAATTATTGAAACATTTTGTTGCGGTTGTGTGGTTTTAATTAAATTTATTAATAATTTATATATATATATATATATATATATATATATATATATATATATATATATATATATATATATATAAAATATTTTACTGATAAATAAATTTCGAAGTGAAAATATCTAATATCGCGCGCTGGATAAATTATGAACAAAACGAAAAAATCATGATTTCAAAAAATTTTAATTCAATTATCAAAGTTGAAATTTTTTTTAAAAATTTTCGATTTTTATTTTTTTTTTATTTTATGGTGTAATATAAACCCCATCTGATCTTATTATTTTGTTTCTTAATTTATATAGATTATATAGCAAATATACGATACGAGTATTATGATAGTTCCAATTTCTAAACTGAAATTAAATAATTTAAGTATAAAAGTATTAAAATTTTTGATTGCAATTATAATTGCATGATTTTTAATACCTAAATATATAGTTAGAAAAATATAATGCTCAAAATATGTATATGTAGTTGTTTTTATAACTTTATTAATTTAATCAATGTGAAAGGATCTTGATATTTTCGTGGTATAATTATTGTTTTTTAAA